AACTTGTAGCAAAAGAAGATTCCCAATGGCCCAATGCTTCCCTCTCTGCCGGGCGCCGACTACAGCCTGCTATGGAAGTGTTGGACTCCTACGGCACCTTCCAGTCCCATGATCACAACTGTGTCCTTTAGTGAACACTGGCAGAGGGGAGGAGCAACACAAGGAACCAATCAGGTGTGCTGACAGGAGGTGAGAGCAGAATCATGACCTCACCAGTCTGCTGCTGTTCTTTTCCCTGTCCAGTCAGCAGGCTGGGCATAGGGAATGAACACCTCCGTATTCCTTTCATAGCCTATAACTCACAGAGAAATGGGGTTATGATCCCGGCTGTGCTGTGTAGCAGAGCTGTGCAACTCTCAGGACCTGATGGACAGAAATGCCGATCCTGGGGCAGGTAAAGCAGCTCTCGTATACCTGTCTCCTGTAGCTCATCTTTAAGGTCTGAGACAAGACATGGATAACAGCTACTGTATGAAGCCCACGAGGAGAGGCAACACTGGAAGCAGCAGATACAACGATCATATAAAGTACAGGATCCCCATAAACCAATCAGAATCCACCTTACACCGGAGCTTCTTTGGTAAACTCACTTCCGATTGGTCGCTATGGGCCACAGCTCGGACCAATGCACTTCTTCCCGAGTACGGCAGATTAGCACTCAAGGCTCCCGTAGCTCAGCGCTCCCCAATACGTATAACCAATATGATTGAGACTCGTTGTCGGGGACGAAAAGACAAATGAAGGGGACGGTGCAATGTTGCAGCGCGCACCCGATTCTGAACCGAAAATCGATATTTCAGTTACGGGTGGTATCTGCTGGACCCGTCATCACCCGCTGGATTACAAAGCTGGCCAGACGTAGTCAGACTCTGATCTAGAATGCAGTGTGAAGGCCGACCTGAGCGATCCCCCCGTGCAATACACATACATACATACATACATATATATATATGAGGTCATGTGACAGCTTGTAGCTAAAAATGTACAATTTATATAAATATATATACATTCTACAGATTCTATATACATGCGGCTAGTTGTAGACGGGATGGTGCGAGCACACTGCGCCCTTGCAGGGGTCTGGTAAAGAAAGTCTCGGATCCACATTGTGCAGCAGACGAGAGGTGCATGGCGCGACCTATCCTGAACCGAGTGGTGTGCATGGCGCAGCCTATCCTGAACGCAGCGATGAGCACAGCGCAGCCTATACTGAGCGCAGTGGAGTGCATGGCACAGCCTATGCAGAGCACAGCGCAGCCTATCCTGGGCGCAGTGGAGTGCATGGCACAGCCTATGCCGAGCGCAGCCTATCCTTAGCGCTGCAGTGACGGGGCGCACCCTATCCTGAGCGCAGCGGTGAGCGCGGCACAGCCTAACCTGAGCGCAGTGGTGAGCATAGGACAGCCTATGCCGAGCACGGCGCAGCCTATACTGAGCGCAGTGGAGTGCATGGCACAGCCTATGCAGAGCACAGCGCAGCCTATCCTGGGCGCAGTGGAGTGCATGGCACAGCCTATGCCGAGCGCAACCTATCCTTAGCGCTGCAGTGACAGGGCGCACCCTATCCTGAACGCAGCGGTGAGCGCGGCGCAGCCTAACCTGAGCGCAGTGGTGTGCATAGGACAGCCTATGCCGAGCACGGCGCAGCCTATCCTGAGCGCAGCATTGAAAATGGCGCAGCCTATCCAGAGCGCAGCGTTGAGCATGGCGCAACCTATCCTGAGGGCAGCAGTGTGCATGGCGCAACCTATCCTGAGCGCAGCGGTGAGCATGGTGCCAGGGCAAGCGGGCCCCCCTGGGTGTGAAGGGCATGGCGTGCAGCGCAGGCCATAGCAGGTCCGCAGCCAGCATCTCTCTCTGCTTACTGAAGGTGAAGGGTGGGGTTGGAGGAGCAGCTATAGAGAACGGTTGAGAGCGAGAGGGGGTGGGGGGGGGAGCAGGACAGGGCTCATCTGCCATCACGCTGGAGATCCTAAGAAGCCAGTGACAGAGATTGGTGTCTGCCCAGCGGATGTGAGGGAGGGATCACGCATTAGGCTGCTGGAGCGAGAGGCCCTTCCTGAGGATGGGGAGCCGTAGCCTGCATTTAAGGTGGGGCTTTCTGCAAGCCTATCAAGACAGCTGCATATTGCTGCGCCGAGGCAAGCGATCCTCACCAGAAGAAAAAAAAGCTGAATGGAGCCGGTGAAAGGAGGCGACGAGCTTCGCAGGCGTCTACAGCACGCCGATCTCCATTATGCTTTTCAGCCTCTATAGTATTTAACCGTGCAGCTGCCTGCATGGACGGCTCTGCAGCAATGGCGGGCGGCGCTCTCCGGGGTCATCGCTGCACTGCCTTGCAGGATTTCTGACAGCTGTGACATTAAACGGTGCCTGTCGCGGCGCAGACGGCCCCGAGGACGCGCGGTGAGGTCACGGCAATTATAACAATTGCCGCGGGGGTTACGTTATGCGAGCAGAGCTCAGAATTCAGCAGAGTGACTGCAGCCTGCAACACACCTTTACCAG